GTATAAACTCCCAGGGTCCAGGACATCCTGGTCATCCTCGTCTCCCAGATCGGTGAAGTCGATGTCGCCGATGCGCAGATCCCGCGGACTCGCCATCAGCTGGTCCCAGATGCAGTCCGACTCCTTCTTTGGAGCTGGCGGAGGAGGAGGAGGAGGAGGTCCCTGCGTTTCTATTGGTGGAGAGGTGAGACCCTTAACGATGTCTCCGAAGCGCTCGGCAAACGTTCGCACGTTGCTCTGGTTCGCGACTTTCTTGTCTTCTTCATGCCTAGCATCGTTCTCTTCCCGAGGCGTCGCGTCCTGCGACGAATCCTCAGCCTTTTCTTTTGCATCTCGCTCTTTGTCCTCGGCCAGCTCGTCTTCGTCCTCATCTTCCTCTGAGGGTTTCTTGCTCTGCGAGTAAAGCATGTCCAGCATGAAGAGCTTGCTGTCGAGGATCTTGTTTCGTTGTTCATTCACGTCTCTGACGCTCTGAGGCCACTGACCTGCAGCAAACACACAGACAGAAGGACCTCAGATACACCAGTTACTAGTTTACCGATGGTTAAGCCCATCTCTGACCCGGAGTTGTTAAATATTTCTTTTAATTTGATCATGATTTTAGCTACCATAAAGAGTGCAGTACTCACATTTTGCTATGTTTAAATACATTTAGCTAGTGCTGTCAAACGATTAATCGCGATTAAATCGCATCCAAAATTATATTATATCCACATATATTATGTAAACAAAAACTTTTATTTTGTATGCGATTAATCGTGATACATTTTTTGACAGCACTACATTTAGCCATATTTTTCTTAAAATTAGTGTAGAAAATGTAAAAAAAAAGTCTACATTTGGGCCAACTGGTTATTATAGTTTAGTGTTTCAAAATGGATTTATATATATTAAATATATATTTAATTGTGCATTATTTTATATTTAGATTTAATTTTTAATATTATAATAACAATACAATAATATAACTAATTTACATTGGTAAATATGAATATATATTATGTATTACATTTAATAATATTCCTTATTTTAGTTTAATTTTAATTAGCTTTACATTTTAGTTCAGCTTTAGATGTACCAATATTTTAGCAGTTAGCATTTTAGCTGTTTAAATCTTTTATTTTAATATTTCAGAGTTTCAATATTTAATTTTACATTACTTATAGAATTTATAATAATTACTATAATATAATTAATTCATAATAAATTATATGATAAATTAATACATACAATTACATACAGTACATTTGTATTATATTCAATATAACACATACGTTTATTAAGTATTTTGTTAAATATAATAATATTTAATATTTACCATTTTTAACCAACTTTAGTTTATTTTTAATCAAATTTAGTTTATTTATAGTTGAAGCAAGGATTATTTTTAATAGTTTTTTTTTTATGGACACATTTCCATAATATTATTTAGTAGGGATGCACCGCTAGGATTTTTTTTTGGCTGATACCGATACCGATTTTAACAAACAACTATTGGCCGATTCCGATACCGATACCAATATTGGTCAATTGCATAAAGCAGGGGTTAAAAACGCTTTAAAGACATTAAAGTAGGCCTATTTTTTTCAAGCAATTTAAAAAATTTTGCAGCATGGATAAAAAAACGCTAATCCTATAAGCGTTTTGAGAGGAAAAAATAAAATTAGTAGGCTGTACGATGCATTTTATTATTAATATATTATTATTATTTTATTATTATCATTCAGAAATAATGTAGGCTAAAACACCGGTAAATAAAAAAATAAAATATTTTCTCTGTTCACAGAAAAGTTTTACAGATTTTATTTTGTTTTGGCAAGTATTTAATTATTTTGCCCAGAGAAAAAAGCTGGATTATGCAACAGACATGCAACTCATTGTCTCCATGCAGTTAATTAATAAACTATCGGTATCTGCCCTTTTCATGCTATTTCCGATATGCCGATGGCTTTAAAATAATCAAAAATCGGCTGATAAATATCGGCGGCCGATACATCGGTGCATCCCTATTATTTAGTAATCATTATTCTCACCCGTGTCCGCTCCGCCTGCAGTGAGTTGATCTTCTCTTTCTAGTGTGCTGCTGGCTGAGGATATACTGGAGGCGGAGCAGTTATCCTTCTCGTTCACTTCTTCGTTCTGTCGTTCTTTATCACTCAAGATCCCGCTGTCCTCCGCTTCTCCATCCGGCGCTTCCCTTTCAGACCCCTCCTCTTCTTCTTCTGCCCGCTCCTCGGCTCCGCCCACTTCCTGTTCAGCACTTACCTCCTCCACTTCCTCTTCCTGTTCCTCTCTGGGTTCTATGTCCTTCTCCTCGGGTTCTAGACTGGCCTCCACGTCCGGTTCTAGATCATTGGTGTCTGTGGAGAAGGTGATTTTTCTTTATGTTTTTGAGTCTATTCTGTTCATCGAGGCTCAATTATTTAATCAAAATTATAGTAAAAATTGTGAAATATTATTATGATTTAAAACAGCTGTTTTCTATGTGAATATCTGTTAAAATGTAATTTATTTCTGTTATCAAAGCTGTATTTTCAGCATCATTACTCCAGTCTTCAGTGTCACATGATCTTCAGAAATCAGTATAATATGCTGATTATTAGAAACATTTCTGATTATTATCAATGTTGAAACCAGTTGTGCTGCCCAACACTTTTGTGGAAAATGTGATACATTTTATTTTTCAGGATTCACAGATGAATAGAAAGTTCAAAAGAACAGCATTTATTTGAAATACAAATCTATCTTTTGTAACATTATAAATATCTTCAGTCACTTTTGATAAAAATTTTTTTTAAATCTTACTTGCATAGAATGATTTCTGAAAGACTGGAGTAATGATGCTTTGATCACAGCAATAAATTACATTTGACTATAGATTCACATAGGTAACAGCTGTTTTAAATTGTAATAATATTTCACAATTTTTACTGTATTTTTAATTAAATAAATGCAGCCTTGGTGAACAGAAGAGAGCAGTATATAGTGTGCTTGTGATCAGGTTCAACATGTGACTTCCTGCATCGTCCTGCACTAATAAAGTCCCTCAGATGACGGGCTCTGTAAGGGCCCTCTGTGGCCCCGACTGCATATGAACTGGGAACACACCTGTTTGTGTCAGCACTCCACCAAACACACACACACACACACCTCCTCTGAGAAATAACACAGCCTGTTTCAGAGCGAGTGTGTGTGTGTCTGTGTGTGTGTGTGTGTGAGGTGATGGAGAGGTTACAGTATCAGCGCTCATGACTGAGTCCTTTTAAACAGTTAAATAAAGACGCACTGACTTCAGAACAGTTGTTTTTGCTTTGGTTTTTCCAAACACGTTTCCTCACGCGAGTCAAAGACTTGACCTGCCACCTCAAGACACGCGACTGCTGCTCTAAGCATCACATCTTAAAACTATGATGACTTTAAGATATATATATATATATATACAGTTATTGTGTTTGGTTTATAATGCGTTTAAAATTTTTATATCAAGTACTGCAGGTAGAACAAAATGCTTCCTGTTTGTTTTATATGTTTATTTTTATTTTCATATTTTGCATTTTTCATATATAATGCATTTTATATCACACACACACACACTCGCGCTCGCTCACACGCACACTCACACTTACACACTCACACTCACACACACACATACACAGTTTTGCATTTTTTATTTTAATTTTCATATTTTTGGATTTTCCATATTTATATAAAATCGATATTTAATCATATTTAATAATTTTAATTAGCTTGAACTTTTTACTCATGTAGAACAAATGTATTTGTTTATTTAACTTAATATATGCATATATACATTATTTTTTCAAATGTATTTTTAATTGAATATTTTGGATCTTTCATATTTAATGTAATTTATACCACACACACACACACACTTTAGCATTTTCAAAACAATTTGATATTTTGGATTTTTCATATTTATATAATATTTCTAATATTTCTAATATATAAATATGTATTTGCATATTATTTTATATATAATAAAATTTAATTTTAATTTAGTAATTTTGATTAATGTTCACACACACATAGACTTTCACTACTAAAAAGTTAATGAAGTAATAAATATAATTTGTTATAACCCCTATATAAATCAAGCCTCACACGTGGCACATGTTTAAATCATTGCATGTTGAACATTCTGTGAAACACATCAGCAGCTGTGGGACATTTCAACAAGATAAACGTCCATGACATCCTAAAAAACAATCATCTCTGTCCACACACACAAACATCTACCTGCTTCTAATACTTGACGTGAATTCAGATGCCTTCAGTGAATAAAACTAGACAGACGGCTCAACGGTTACTCATTTTGTGTGTTTTTTCTCTGAAATGATGTTATACGATGGCATGCGTTCAGTGATTATAATGTGACCCTGGAGCACAAAAGCAGTCACAAGTAGCACAGGTATATTTGTAGCAATAGCCAACAATACATTGTATGGGTCAAAATTATCAATTTTTCTTTTATGCCAAAAATCATTAGGATATTAAGTAAAGATCATGCTCCATGAAGATATTTTGTAAATTTCCTACCATAAATATATCAAAACTTAATTTTTTATTAGTAATATGCATTGCTAAGAACTTAATTTGGACAACTTTAAAGATGATTTTCTCAATATTTTGATTTTTTTGCACCCTCAGATTACAGATTTTCAAATAGTTGTATCTCAGCCAAATATTGTCCTAAAAAACCATACATCAATGGAAAGCTTATTTATTCAGCTTTCAAAAAATTGACCTTTATGACTGGTTTTGTGGTCCAGGGTCACGTACTGAGCTTGTGACAGGTGGATTTACCTGGTTCAGAGGGCGGGTACAATGTGATGGGCGTGTCCTGCTCGTCCTGTGATGTCACAGAGGAGGGCGTGGCACTGCGGGATGATTGACAGGTGTCCGTTGGGCTCAGAGTGAGGCTGAGACCTCGAGGTGCAGAATGCATTCGCTCTCGCTCAAACTCTTCGTCCGCCAGTCGCTCGGCCATCCGAAACCTGACACACACGTTCATCAAACACGGTCAATCCTCACTCTGCAGACACATTCTCACGCTGTGTGTTTTCAGTCAAACGGGACGGGAATGTGTGGAAGCCAGAGGAGGAGGAAAAATGTGTTTGGATTCGAGGAAAAGTGGGTTAAAAAAGGCTGAGGAGGGAAAATAAGACTAAACCTGTTCAAGATGTGACATCACACACACACACAGTCTACACAACACTACATGACCTAAGAGACACCTCAAAAAAGTAGAATAGTCTGATACATTAATACAAAAGTATTTAAGAATATTAAAATAAAAAAATAAATACTTAAATACTTAATATTAATTCGTTCATGTGATGATGTATTTTTATCTATGTGTATATATATATATATATGAAAGATTATAGAAGGTACGAATTATTAAAATATAATAAATATTATAGCATTAAAAATAAGTTACAATATAATCCAATAATTGACAATAATATATATTTATTGTATTATATAAATATCTATCTATCTATCTATCTATCTATCTATCTAAAAAAGTAACAAAAATACCTTATGCAAAATGCATTACAAATATAAAAGGACACACACTTTATATATATATATATATGTATGTATGTATGTATGTATGCATGTATGTATGTATGTGTGTGTGTATATATATATATATAGTCATGGCCAAAAATATCGGCACCCTTGGTAAATTTGATCAAAGAAGGCTGTGAAAATTAATCTGCATTGTTAATCCTTTTGATCTTTTATTTAAAAAATTCACAAAAATCTAACCTTTCATTGGAGAATAAGAATTTAAAATGGGGGGAACTATCATTATGACATAAATCATTTT